GTTTTTGTGAACAACGGCCAGCAGTCACACCATGAAGCGGATGTAGTTAAAAAAAGCATGTCGGTCATAGCAAAAAGCACCCGCAATTGCAACATCCAATAAAAAAAGGATCGCGGTAACTGCCACACGTGTGGGCGTTAAAAAATCTGCCCACACGTTCTGTGTGGTGCCTAAGAGGACCAGCCCACACGCTTGTGTGTGGGCAAAACAATCAGCGCCCACATGTCTCTTTTTTCCCTCCCGGTCCCTCTTACACGCGTGCGTGTGGGTGAAAATAGATAACGCCCACACATCCGGTACGTCAGGCCTCGTACCTCGTGGTCCCGCACGCCCCACGTGACACTTTACCGCGTGCACGCAGTTGCCACGGGCCGGACCCTCGTCTATGTTCGTTTAAGTGCAGTTGCCATGTCGCTGAACTACGGTTGCCATGTCGGACAACTACAGTTGCCATGTCTGCTCAACTGCAGTTGCCATCTCAGGTCAAACTTCCAGATTGCCATTTTTTGGACAACTACAGATGTTGCCATGTGTGATCTGGTCTACTACAGTTGCCATGATTTTAAAATTTTAAGAGTTGCCACCTACTAACAGTAGGCAGTTGCCGTCTAGCACTGAAAAAATGGCATGGCAAAAAAACATGTTCGGGTAAAAGAGAGAGTTGCCATGTGCTCACAAGCACGTTAGGGCAGTTGCCATGTAAAAAGAAAGAGTTGCCATCTGCTTACGTGCACGCTAGGGCAGTTTACCATGTACCATGCAAAACATATGGCAACTGACATGTTTGGGTAAAAAAAAAAGAGAGTTGCCATCTGCTTGCAATCACACTAGGGCAATTGCCATGTACACTGCAAAACGCATGGCAACTGGCAGCTTGGGTGTGGGAGATGAGGCGGACGTGTGGGCGAGATGACAAACGCCCACACATCAGCCCTTGTGCGTGACTGAAAACTGGTGTGTGGGTGAACTGCTAAACGCCCACACACCGATCCCTCCGTGTGGCAAATCGGATGTGTGGATGAATTATGCCACACACCACACACACACCTTGTCCTACGTAACACACAAAATCATCTTTTTTATGCCAAAATTCGTGCAAAAGGCGTTGGACGGTGATGAAGGCGTGTGGACGAGTTGGCTAACGCCCACACGTGTGGGCGTTAACATTTCCGTAAAAAAAGATGAAGTTCTGTATGGGCACATCCATGGTGACCATTGCATCGACGTCTCCTGTGCGTCAAGGCCACCACAAAGATGATTGGGAAAAAAAATGCCGCCCCGTTGTACCGGTGCAGGTGTGTCGTCTTCAGCACCGGCGTCCAGCCCCCGACGACATCCCTCGTCGCCTTCAGCGGAATCATGCTCGTGCGTGCTCAGGCTCGTGCGTCGATGGCGTGGGAGTGAAGACGACCGAGGGACGAGCGGTGGAGGTCCACGCGCGAAGCGATAAGGTTTGACCCCTTCCGAGACGCACGCGCCGCCACGTGATCCGGTGGGACTCAACGCAGCGCGCGTCCGGACCGGCCGGCCGAAGACCCGCCGGACCGCCTGCCCGCCGGCTGTAAACGTTTCCCCATATCCAGGCCCAAGTAAGCATTTAGGAAGAATCCTCACATTCTAAAAAGTGACGGGAGACGTTGACTTTTCTTTTTGCATCTCACCGGAGACGTTGACCTGGAAAACGTGACCGAGGCTTGAGGAAGGAAGGAATTTCCGGACCACCGATAAAACAAAACGAGCAAATAAATAAATAAAAGAAAATAAAAGAAGAAAAAGGAAAGAAGTGAAGGCCGCCGCCGCCGCCGCCTGCCTGCCACCGTGCGCTGTGCTGGCTGCGCGACGCGGATATAGCCGCCCGCCCGCCCGCCCGCACCCACGGGAAACCGCCGCTCCTTTGGCGTCTCCAGCAATCAATCCAGCAGCCCAAGGCCGCGCGGCGGCGTCTCTTCCTTCCTTCCTTCCCCGCTCGCCGCTGCCGTCGCCGTCGCGGTCCGGCCCTCCGCGCCGCAGCGGTACGTACGCACGCCGCTCCCGAACCCTCCTCGGCGGTTCCCTTCGCCGGCGGCGGCGGGGGATCGGCCCCCGCTCTGGTGGTGGTGGTGGTGGGCGGGATCGGGGGTTCCGCCCGATCTGGCCTGACCGCAGCGAGCGCCGATTGATTGATTGATTGATTGGTTGATCGGTGCCGTGCCTGCTGCCCCTCATCTGACGCTTACTACTAGTAGTTCTGTTCGTGTTCGGTCTTATTTTATTACTCTATTTTATCTATCAGTTGGGAGGGATCTGGATCCCACACCGCCCCCATCGTATCGCTGTCCTCGTTGCTACTCGCTCCGTTCGGAATTACTTGTCACAAAAATGGATAAAAATTGATGCATCTACGACTACAATACATTTAGATACATTCTTTTCTTGGACAAGTAATTTCGAACGGAGGGAGTACATTTGTACACCCTCCGTTTCGGGCGTGCTAGGGCGCGCTGCCACCCACTAAATCTCTCGGAAACCCGGATAAATCATCTTTCCCAACAATTTTTATTTTCTGCATGCTGCGTTCATCAGGGTTTACGCGAAATCCATGTGCTTCTGCAGGTCGTCGACGACAATGTGGGGCTGGGGCAAACAGGAAAAGGCTGATGACACCCAGTAAATTTCTCGGAAACCGGCAGAAATCATTTTTCCAAACCATTTATCTTGGTTTTTGCGTAGCGCGTCGATCCAGGGTCGCTGACGCATAGGCGAAATTCCTGTGTGGCTCTGCAGGTCGTCGCCGGGAATGTGGGGCTGGGGCGAAGAGGAAGAGGAAGAGGAAGAGGCTCATGACGAGCATCGCACCCGGTAAGATTTCTCGGAAGCTGCGAGAAACCATTTTTCCCAACAATTTTTATTTTTCTTGCAATAGTGGGTTCATCCAGGGTCGCTGACGCTCAGGCGAAATTCGTGTGGTTCTGCAGGTCGTGGCCGATAGTGTGGGGCGAAGAGGACGAGACTGATGACGAGGAGGACACCCGGTAAATTTCTCGGAAACTAAGAGAAGCCATTTTTATTTCTTGCACAGTGCGTTGATCGATCCACGGTTGTTGCTGACGCTCACGTCGAATTCGTGTGGTTCTGCAGATCGCCGCCGACATCGTGGGACGAAAATACTGATGACGAGGATGTTCCCTCCGGGAGTTCCGAGGACGTTCCTTCCGGGAGTTCGGAGGACGTTCCCTCAGGGAGTTCCGAGGACGTTTCTTCGGGGAGTTCCGAGGATGTTCCCTCCGGGAGCTCCGAGGAAGAGGAGCCCATGTACAATTACAGCACGGTGGATGAGGTGAGTCACAAGCAGACATTGTCCCAGTGTGGTCACTCTCTGTTTCCTCATGCCTATCAAGTGTAGATACTTTTCTCTGCCACTTATATGTACACTCTTTGCTCTGAATCTTGAGCATAAGTTACTTCAGCGAAAAGTCAGACAGAGGCGGTCACCCAGCTCATTCTAGTGTTTGCTTGGTTAAAACCTCAGCGTGTTGCTCAAATTCTGTGTCTCTGTTATTCAATCTTCGGCGCGGTCTTCTTGGAAAACGTTGTCAAATGTCATATCCTGGCAGGGTATAAAATGTTTTAATCTGTATGCTACATGCCCAAATCTGCATAACGTAAACTGTTTCTCCGAGCCACATATTTACCTTCTGTTTAAAATGTTTTCAGCTACTTTATCTCCAGTTTAAAATTATAAGTACATAAATCGTATCCACATCATGTTGTCGTGCGCTTGCATTCTCTAGACATTTGGTACTAATTTCGATATATGAAGGTCATTACTGCACTGAGAGAAGCTGGGCTTGAATCATCAAATCTGATTTTTGGCATTGACTTCACCAAAAGCAACGATTGGTCAGGTAATGTTACTTCTGTGTCACTGTCACCGTCAGATCTGCTGTTTTACCCTGTCGTTTAACTGAATAAGTATCCTGCTGGATTTCTGTAGGTAAGCATTCCTTCGGAGGAGAATCTCTGCATGCCATTAGTCGCACCCCAAATCCATATGAGCAAGCCATTTCTATTATTGGGCGAACACTATCACCTTTTGATGATGATAACTTGATACAATGCTTTGGATTTGGTGATGGTAAGTATTCGCTCACTGTTTTTTCCTTTTCTATTTTAACTTTCTTTCAAGGAAATTTTCTACTTCTTCTGTGACTTGATGAAATGTAATTCAAACCTGTAGTTTCCACATGTGATCATTCCGTCTTCAGCTTTTACGAAGATTACCGTCCTTGTTGTGGTTTTGAGGAGGTTCTTGACAGATACAAACAAATGATTCCATATTTGGACCTTTCAGGTAATGAAGGCTTATTCCCCTTGTTTCATTCAGTAGAGATTCTGGGATTGTAAAATCAGAACAAATCTGAGTTGTATCTATCTCAGCAACTTTGACACTGGAGACAGTCTTTTTCTAATCGATGAACTGTTTTTAGGACGAGTTATTTTTTTAGGTAGCCATATAGTGCTGTGCTCTGTTTCCTTGCTTCAACTTATTTGATGGCGTGCACGCTAGACGTCCTGACCCCTCCCTGCATTGATGGATAGCTAGCCGTACAGTTTTCTGTTTTTTGTTTCATTTACTCCAGGCCTCCTTTTGTTTAATTTTGTTGGCTTTGCCTTGCTTTGTTTTCATTTGGTCGCCTGTACAGGTCGCGTCATCTTGATACATCCTCCTAATACAAAATAGCACACATTTTGATGCTTATTTGAGAAAAAAAACTTATTTGATAATGTTCCCAGATTACCCTAGGATAGCGCACAGCAAATAGTTCTATTTAGTGCATCTTTAAGTTTCTGACATCACTTGTTGATAAGGTTTATATCCTTGCGATCGTTGCATCATGATTACACACATTATTTGATAATGTTCCCAGATTACCCTAGGATAGCACACAGCAAATAGTTCTATTTAGTGCATCTTTAAGTTTCTGACATCACTTGTTGATAAGGTATTTGCAGTATAACTCATGTATTGTGTTTTGACTGAATAATTTTGTATCTATGACGCCGTCTCTGTTTAGGGGCAGCTGAATACTTCACCAGCAATGCTTAAATCTTTTGTTTCATCCATAATTTGGTTGAGCTGGTCACTGTAGGACCAACTTCTTTTGCACCTCTTATCTACGCGGCGATTTCAGTTGTTGAAAACAGTAACTACCAACATCATGTCCTCGTCATCATAGCTGATGGACAGGTAATGTGTTCATTGTAGCAGTAAATTCTTCAATGGAACTTCATCCCTTTAGCGTGAGTCTCACTTGAGCAAAAATTGCAGGTAGCCACCTCAAAGTCTTACAGCATCGTAAGTCCACAAGAAGAGGCAACTATACAAGCACTTATTGATGCTAGGTAAATGCAGTTCATCTGTTGTTATTCGACTTGGTGTTGTTGTATTGCTAACTAAAGCCTTTCTGTTTGCTAGCTTCTATCCTCTTTCAATTGTGATGGTGGGAGTGGGCGATGGACCATGGGATGAAATGCAGCCTGCTGATGAGGGTATTCCTGCCAGGGCTTTTTACAATTTCCAGGTGATTTAACAATGCTATTATGTTGCTTCAGTTCCAATTTTTTTGTTGTGCCCCACACAAAAAACAGTGCTACCTTCAATGCTAATGATTCTAGCTGTGTTTCCTGGACTTAATGATGTGGGAAGGCTGCTGATTCCAATAAGAAATAAAATAACAAACTTTGTTGAGATTAATTTACTTTGTGCCGTTGCCTTCTCTGATTAGAAGAATTTCAGATTTGTGTTGCATTCATACATCTGTTGCTGTACTTGTAACCTTGTTGATAAATCTACTGCAGTTTGTGAACTTTACTGACATCATGTCAACAAGCAAGGATATGGAGAAGAAGGAGGCTGCATTTGCCTTTGCAGCTCTGATGGAAATACCCACTCAATACAAAGCGGCCCAAGGCCTCCTACCTCCAGAGTACTCGCTCTTCTTCATCCTTGGCGTCCCTGCATTAGTTATCCTTGGCATCCTTGTCATATTCTCATTTGCTGGCGTCGTACTTATTGTCTTATCCTAAACTAATCTCTCAGGTGGCACGAAGAAATGGCTGACCCTTGGATGATCCTTCCGCCACCAATTGAAGTCCTTGAACGTGACGATGCTGTTGCAGCTACCTATGCTCCAGCCGCAACCTTCCAGTTAACCGATGTTGGCAATGGCGCTTTGGATGAACAGGTTGGTACCCTCAGGCTAGTAGTAAGTCCGCACCATATTTATTTTTTTACAGTCATGGCCTCTTATTAAACTCTGATTTTGTAAAACTTGTAGGTATGCCCCATCTGCTTAAGGAATCCGAGGGACATGGCTTTCCAGTGCGGTCATCTGGTAAGTCGCTCTAGCGCCGGACAAACTCGACTTGTGAACTTACAATGAAACCCCGACTTTACTATGAACAAACATGGCCAAATTCAGATACAATGAAGTAGTAGCTCTTTTCTCGGACGAGTGGCTGATCTAACCTCCCTTTGCCTTCTTTTTTCTGTCCGAAGACATGCAGGAATTGCGGTCCGGCGTTATCGACCTGCCCCGTGTGCTGTGCCCTGATCACGCATGATGCTCTTCTCGTAAGGAGGGCGCCGCCTTCTGAAGCGGAGGATCCGCCGTTCCATCCAATTTGGTATCAAGAATAATTAAGGAGCAAGAGGTTGGAAAGACAATGCGGTCAGAAAAAAGGTTGAAAAGACAAAGATATATGAATAGAACTTTACTTTATATATGTTCGGAACCAACTGTGTTTCAGACTTACAGTGACCTGTTGATTGCACCGTTTATTACTGTCATCATGTACAAAGTAGCAGTGGTATTAAACTGTGTTTTTCTGGTAAAACCTGAATGGAATGCCAGCAATTGTGTTACATTATGATCTGCATGACTCTTTATCTTCGTATCACCGACCTGATAATACTCCCTCCGTCTCAAAATTCTTGTCTTAGATTTGCCTAGGTACCTAATACTAAAACGTGACTTGATACATCCGTATTTAGACAAATCTAAGACAAGAATTCTGGGACAAAGGGAGTACTTCCACTATTAAGGATGCAAAGCGGGCAACCCGCGAAGCATTTTCGTGTGTTTGCACAAAGTCAACCTAGTGTAATCCCTCCCTTGCATTAGCATAAGGTTGACTTTCAGCATGCTCACGTTTGAGCTTTCGCGGGTTCCCGCTTGCATAGATATTCCCCATGTAGCATACTGTTGTTTCCTATGAAAAATCATGTAACATGAATGGACTGGTAATCAATCAAACGAAAATGTTTTAGCTAGAGCGGAAAAATTACGAAAATGCTAAAGCTCTGAAGTGAAATTTTTGGGCGTGGCAAATCGAACATTTTTCATGGCAATTTGTATTGGCGTCAGGATGGCAAATTTAGTTTGAAGCATGGCAATTTTCTGACAAAAAATGAACTGAACCGGATTTGCTATGCTCGCCAACTAAACTTGCAATCCTAGCGAACACAAGCTGCCATGAAAAACGTTTGTTTTGTCATGCCTAAAAATCCGACGTTCGCTGGATATACTGATCCAAAAAATATGGGTTGCAGAACTAGGGTTGTCAATTCACGAAAGACTACTATTGACACACAGTCAGTGCAGCGAGTTGAAACACTCTCTGCGGGCATTTCTGGGACTATGTTGTTTCGATCAGTTTGGATTCGCTATCCTGCTAGTTGTGCTCTTGGTTGTGGTCAGTGGCGATTCTACTAGGGGGGCTTCATTAGGCTGAAGCCTACCCTCCAAAAATCCCATTTCAACTAAATATACTACTCCCTCCGTCCGGAAATACTTGTCGAAGAAATGCATAAAAATGGATGTATCTAGAACTAAAATACGTCTAGATACATCCATTTCTCCGACAAGTATTTCCGGACGGAGGGAGTACTTGACAATTGTACCGAGGTGTTTTACATCCAATAATTGCAATACATTGCTAATTAGACCTAGGAACTTGCTTTGAGCCTGCCCTTCATTTCCGTGCTAGATTCGCCATTGGTTGTGGTCATACTCGTGCGTCACTCCGCCCGCTGCCCAACGACGCATTGAGAGGAGTGATTCCACGTTTCCTTTCTTCCCTAGAAAGAAAGATTCCCAACCGTCTAGGGTTTCTCCGCCCCTGCCGGCACCGCCGCCAATCCAGTGCCATTATACTCCATTAGTCGCACCCCAAATCCATATGAGCAAGCCATTTTTATTATTGTGCAAACACTGTCACCTTTTGATGATGATGATGACTTGATACTATGCTTTGGATTTGATGATTGTAAGTATTCGCTCGCTGTTTTTTCTTATTCCGTTTTAACTTTCTTTCAAGGAATTTTTGTATTTCTCACCAAAAAAAGTTTGTATTTCGCGCAAAAAAGGGAAATTTAGTACTTCTCCTGTGACTTGATGAAATGTAATTTTAGTATGAGCAAACACTACTAAATTCGGATACAATGGAGTACGCTGAGCAAACACGACTAATGTATGCCCCAAGACATGCTAGGAATGTGGTCCAACTATCAACCTGCCCCCCTGTGCCGTGCCCCGATCACCGTGCGTGTGAGACTCTTCTCGTGAAGATGGTACTGCGTCATGGAAGTTGAAGGATCGGCCATTTCATCAAACACCAAAAAGTAGTCAAGGAGCAAGAGATTGGAAATACAAGGATATACTCCCCTCCTGTCCTTTTTACTTCGGGTATTAGATTTGTGCCAAGTTAAACTTTACAAGGTTTGACCAAATTTACTGCAGTAGCAACAACAGTAGTAGCAGTAGCAGTAGTAGCAGGAGTAGGAAATTTTTGTTACAGTATGGTTCGTATGATTATATCTTCATATCACATACCATGCAGTATGTTGTTGTTTCCGTTGAAACTGAGAAGTTGAGGAAGTTCTCACAAAAGTCAACTGGAGTGGTTTTGGTTTCATATTTCTCGTTTAACATGCTCGCCGTTCGTTATTTGTCACAAGGTTTGTCACTGTTGCACCTACAGTGAAAAACCAAATGTTGGAATGCCAAATAATTAATCAAATGAAGGTATTTTTGTAGAGTGAAAAATAATCATGAATTTGCAAAGATAGGAGTGTCAATTCACCAAAGAGTATTGTCTTATTACATAGTTAGGTTTCCCTCTACATCATTAGAACGGATTTGGGACATGCTCCGCTGTGGCAAGGTCATTTCTGAAACTAAAAAATATGCAGCAAGATGAACATAACCAAAATTGACCATGAGTAATTTTCTTATCTCTTGCCTCTCGGTGAGGAGTAGATCCTTTTGCCTACACCGTCTCACCTTCACCCCACTTGTCGCTCCGGCGGCGGCAAAGATGTAAGGAAGAAAAGTTCCTTTTGTCCGATGTCTAGGTCTAGTCTTAGTTTTCAGGAGACGTCACTTAGTCGGTATAAGTCATAATTAAACTCGTAATGATCGGAGGGGCCACGCCGGCTGCGAGTCCGCACTCGTGTCGGCTCACCTCCGCACCCGCACCCCCCTCCTCACTCTCCACATCGACCGGATCGCATAGCAGATTTATGCTCGAGCCTAACAATAAATAGCTCATACTAGACGATATTTAATTGTTATTGATTTAAAAATCTAATATTTATACTAGACATTTTTACTTTATATAATTTGTTTATATAAATGTACAACCCTAAATAATATATACTTAACCACATAAAAATGTTGGTAAATTTTAGTCGTACGATTCTTCATTATATATATAGTTCAGACATTCATACTTCAAAAATACATGCACACAATGCTAAAGTCTATGCTATATCGTGTAGTATTAGTTATTTTCTCTTTGTAACAAGATGTCACTTAATATTAAACATGAAAAATAAAAAGAACAAATTTTACATGTCTTTATGGATTAATATTATGATAATTGTTTAAAGTATAGTGTATATTTATGTGTTTTTGTTTCTATTTCAATATTTTTAAAATACTTGAACACTAATATGTAAATTGTATAGTTTAAGAAATATCTTGACATTGGGTTCTAGAATATGATTAAGCCCAAACAAATAGCAAATCTAAAAAAAAGACAAAGAGAATAGCAACCTAATTAAACTAACGGACACATTGATTAGATTGTTGTTTTGTCTCTATTGCTACTACCTACTAAAACAACGTCTGCATTTCCTAAAGGAGGGAGTACTTTGGTACGTTGTGTGAACTTTCTTCTACGAATTGGACTTTGTTTTCCATTAGACATCTTATATACACAATCCTATATAACTAAATAGTTTATCTCCATAAACTTATTTCTTTCAACATGCATGGAAATGCCCACCTCAATATGTAACCATGCATGGGAAAAGCCCTACTAATATTCAATAATTCCTTTACAGCTACACAATAATCAAATTGTGTACAATCAATTCCAGTTCCAGTTATCATATTATTAGTTCAAATATTAATATTCCATACAACCAAATTGCATTGAATATATTGCTACTAATTGCTGCAGATTTTCGCCAAAAAAACTAATTGATGCAGCATTGCGTGGAGTATCACCTGGTAACTAATAGTGTATTGGCTACTTCTCCATCCTTCCCAAATTATGTCACGTTATTTGCATGTTGTCAATCTTTTAAAACTTTGAGCACTAATATGCACACATATATAAAGATTGAACACATAAGAATGATGTCACGTTATTTATCTTGCAAAATACCTTTTATTTCATGCACATTTTCACTATTTTTAGCTATACGTCTTAGCCAAAGTCGTGTGTTGAAAACTGTCAAAAGTAAAAATCTACTTATATTTTGAAACAAAGAATGATCACCTGTTTGCCCGACCATTGGGCTGGTCGCGCCAAAGCAGTTTTCCATGTACCAACCCTTATTTTGTTATTTGTGACAAATTTATTGCCTTATTTGCCATTGTTGCAATATGATTGTGAAAAGAACCCCAAATTGAATTTTTTTTGCTATCGTGAAAAAAGTGCATTGCGATTTCACTTTTTGTAAAACCATTCTATCAAGTACAAAATGACAAATTTACCTCTAATGCATATGTACGACAAATTAAAATACCCCCCCCCCCCCGGTGCGCATGGTGTATAAGCCATCTACAAAATTAACCAGAGTAAATAAAAGAGCACCACATTTGGGGCAAAATTTTAAGAAAAACGACACTACTGCGACTTCTAAAAAGTCTATGTATTTGAGGCATCTAGGTTACAGACACTGATTGTTGTTAGCATTTTGATACGAGATGTAACAAAAGGAGACCACACGTGAGGACCAACATGACCTGCCACTGTCAAAAAATATGATGAGGTTTACATGGGTCCCACCTCTCAAGTCCCAATGCCAACACCAACACGCTTACTGCCTTGGCCATAGACGGGAGGGTGAGGCGGTGATTGCAAGAGGGCGCTGGACACAAAGGAAGAAGAAGGCGACCCGCCTTGTGGGTTCTTGTCCACCGCATCATATTTTTCCACTGAGGCACGCCATGTCCATTGGCAGAGCCTCGCGGAGGCCAAACGGGGTTGCAACCCCCCTTCCAAAAGTTTTATATTATTTGACTCTACTAAGCATTGGTCTCAACATCTCACAATTATCCATGCCTTCTTCAAATCAACTGAAACTGTGTGTCTCTCCATGACTCATCACCATGGCTAGTGAAATTC